AACACGGGTTGCATCGAAAGATATTGATAATGGTCCAAAGTGAGCATATTTGGTGATTCAGTCAACCACGACCATATATGATATTAGTGTAGCCACGAGAGGAGGAAAGGACAACAATGAAGCCCATCGTCACATGATCCCAGCCCCCCAGACCTCGGAAGGCACTAGCAAGGGTTGGAGCAAGCAAGCGAGAGGTTTGGAGTACTCGGTTATTAAATTAAGAGCTGTTAGGGTTTATCGCGTCACTGCTAATGCTAAAGGGCTAGAATCTCTCTGCGTAATCTTTTATGATGAAAAGGTTCATTATATTTTTAATATGATCCCTCGTGGTATTAGTGTTAAACGTAATATTTATAATAAAAAACCTTATATTTCATTATATGGTTTATTTCTTTTCGCCAATAATGACACTAACATATATTGATGGCGTAAATTTGAGTGTAACACACGGGTGTGATACTAATCCTATTTTTAAAAGCAAGAAAAGTTACGCCCAACCAATTTCCCGTCCAAATGTACAACGTTTTTGTCCCGTACATTCTTGATCCATGGTTGAGATATTGCATATTTTATATTGCATTTTTTGATATATTTTAGTATATATTTGTATATGATAATTGTTACTCCGTATTATATTAAAAAATAAAACTTACATTAAATAAATAAGTAAATTACTATTAAAGTTGTTCAATCACAATGTCTATTGATGGAATACATAAATATCATACACATCTACATATGAAAGATAATACATTAACTCTTTGTAAATAACTTTGTTAGACATTTCATCGGTCCAAAAGGTGGAATCGCCCACCCCAGGCGCCCCCACCCCCTTGCCCGACAGGAATGGTGGAGGATGTAAATCATGGCGACTCAGTCGGCCAATAGGGTAATGACATTATACCATGTAGATAAAAAAATTTGCCATGTCACATGCCAAATTTGCCATGTCACATGCCACATGTTTTTTAATAAATTCCATGTGGATCAATAAGGTAATGACATTATACCATGTAGATAAAAAAAATTGCCATGTCACATGCCACATGTCTTTACCACAACTAAAAAACCTTCTTTTACATATATACTAGTATTTTCACCCGTGCGATGCACGGGATCGACAAATTTTTTGTCGATTATGATTTTTTTTAATATAATACATTTTCCAAATCAAGTAAATATATTTCTAACACTATTTTTTATCATTGGACAAAAATACCAAAGTAGAATAAATAATATCTGAGGAATTGAAAATGTACTCAAAGTGTCTTTTTTAATTCCAAACATGTTGGCATGAAGAATAAGAAATTAAGTACTACTTTTCACCTCATGGAATAAAGGATAAGACAAATTCATTTACCATTCAACAACCTCGAGCACGGGTGCCAATAGTGCACTATCTTAAAAAAAAGAATATAATAGTTTTTTATGTTCTCCAATAAATTTGGATAAGTGAAGTTCACTATATTCTTGAGGAATAACTTGTGTCAAGAATCAAGAGCACCAACTTCATGTATTGTGGAGATATTATAATTTCTTGAGTCTCTAGTTTTACTTGTCAATAACCTCAATGATACATTAGAAGTAAGCTCATTATATATGAAGTCTTACTTCTCAAGAGCCTCAATGATACATTAGAAGTAGGCTCACTATCCATGAATTCTTTAGTTCTTCTAAATATTTGTGTTAAAACATTATGCTCATCTACCATATTTCTCAAATCTTTGACCAAACTTTTAAAATGGAAAATACTAATTTTAAAATGGAACATACTTTTTATTTGATTTAGAAATTTTTACATATACGGAATAAAACTAATGCTCTATTAAATAAGCGTGCCCATAAAAATCCATTTTCTTTTATATATTTGTTTCTTTTTTTAAATAATTAGAAAATCTCTCCAATTAGTATTAATTCAAAGCAAAAAAATCAAATGTAATTTCTTTTAGTCCTACCAGTCTATCCGTTCTTAAAGTAAATTTATTTGTTTTGATTATAGTTTTTGAATAGGTGTTTTTTTAAATTCCAAAATATACTATTTAATTTAAATATTTTCCAATAATGAATGAAAATATAAAAGTTTTTATACGCGATTATATGGAGAAATTGGTGTGTAACAAATATGAAATTTAATTTCCGCATAATAAGTTTTTTTGTTAACTATTTTTTAACATTACTTGCTAACATGGCATACTGATATGTTAAAAAAGTTGTCTAATAAGCACGCGACATGTCACACTTCTAGAAGCTCAACCCGTTTGAAATATTGAGGGAGTCGATTTTGATGACGTGGCTGATGAAGTGTCAAAAAAAGTTCCAGTCAGCACGCCAAATGTCACAATTCTGAGAGTTCAACTCTCAAATATTATATATAAAGGATATATAGGATACAAACGGATGTTTAATAACAACACATCAACATGAAAATAAATAAATAGTCAACATATTAGAAAAAGCCCATACAAAAATGGCAATGCATCAGCGGATGTTTAATAAAAAAAGCCCATACAAAAATGGCGAGCCTTGTGATAGCCTTGCCATAGCATTTGCATATGGATTTTTTATTACATTATTAAGTTTTTGGTAAAAACAATTTATATTATCATATCACTTGTCATTATATAAAAGGATGGTAACAAACTAAGTTTAATATAATTCTCTTTTAGATTTTACATAAATAATTATTACGGATTATACGGTAAGAAGAAGAATAATAATAATTTTTATATGATTATATCACTTCCATTTATATTTTACTCATCTAAAAGTGGTAAGATTTAAAATAGTCTTGAATTGTACTTTATTGTGGAAACAAATTATTATATGGTGAATTACCGTCGTAATTATATACGTTATAATCGTATATTTTGGTATGTATCTATATGTGGTAATATATTTATGCGGATATTTAATGAAAACACAAATAAAAATGGAAAGAAATAAATAGTCAACATTTTTTTAGTGTATATTTTTATGTCATATATCTCTTGTACTATAAAAGATATTTTTGATATCCTTTATTTTATTTTAAAAATAATTTTTAATATCTTGATATATGAAAATCAAATCATAGAATTTTTCATTTTTTTTGTGCAACGCATTGGGGAACAAAGGAGAAGAAGAAGAGGTTAGTTTGCGATTACAATAAGATTATGTGCTCAGTTTTGATTTGATTTCGCATGGTGTGGATTTCCTGTGGGAACGGGAACGGCGGCGTTTTGGATTAGTATTAGCCTTTCTCAGCAAGAAGCAACAACAACAACAACAACCCAGTTAAATCCCACAAGAGTAGGGTCTGGGGAGGATGTGTGTACGCAGACCTTGCCCCTACTTGAAAGTAGAGAGGCTGTTTCCAAAGAGACCCCCGGCTCAACATCGAAAGTTGCATTGCTTGACTAACTGCTACTTCATTAATTAAAGAAGCGCAGATAGTTTAGAGATCCATTTTGATTTATTCCATCACACTCCAAAGCCAAGAAGCTAAACGCTAAAAGCTTGAGCCGTTCCCAAACACACCATCCAACCCGGCGTGTCTGTTTCTTCTTTTTCTTCTCAGATGACACAAATACAATGCCTTGCAGGGATTGTTGCACTCTTGATGATATTGATTCCAAAGCTAAGGATGATGCCCAAAAACAGGGCTCCTCCGAATCTCATGATACAAAGAGCGAAGAGGACAAAAGTACAGTGGTCTGAAACCTTTAGCCGAAATGACAAAGAAGTGTTGTGTAATGCCTTTTCAGAATTAGCTTATCAAACTCAAGACGGCTGTCTACAGAAAGCTGCTAGTTCCAGCAATACCGATGGCAATTCTTTAGAAAAATATGTTTCTCCACTCAAGATCAGCAGTAGGAAGAAGATATGGATCTGTGGCTTCTTGTTGAAAAATATAGCCGGAAATTCTGGCAATACCCATATGGTTATGGATGAGAAGAAAGAAGGCATCCGACATGTTGAAAGTATTGGGGGAAACATTGATGAGGGTGCAGAAGTGGTGCAAGATGTTGTTTTGATCATGGATGGTACTTGTGTTAAGCTTCTAGTCCAAACCTGGGAACTTGTGAACAGGAAGACCAGGCTGTTCTGGAATTCAACAAGTATGGTGAAGATGGTGATGAAATGAAAGCACAAAAGTATTCAAGAGATTTTTTTATTCACTCAAAAATATACAGACAAATGTAATAACCTCCCCGAAGGTTTTGAGATAGCTGCTGATTTTGCCGAGGTCTTAATGGATTCTGATCTGGAATCGTCTGGTGGCCTTTAGGATAGATAGAACATCATACCACCTTTAGGAGGTGGTATGCGACGAAATGGTGCTGATTCTAGCAGATAAATACAAGGAACCACTTTCCACAAGGGTCTTATGCACTCTCCTCATAGTCTCATACTCCATCACAAGTGCTGCATAAAGCTGAAAAGCAGTACGAAGTTGGTAACATGATAGACTAGGATCCAGGCAAAGCAAAGGCGCGATTGAAAGAAATTCTCAAGAAGAACATCAGGGAATAATGTTGGGCAACATTAGACTGATTGGGGAGTTGTACAAGTAGGAAAAATGTTGACATATCATCATCTTATTTACAACAAAAGCAGGAAAGAGTTGCCGCCCAAACGTTTTTTGACGGTTGCCACATGTATTGTATTGGGCCGGTTAGAACATTACACAAAGAGTGCAGTCCCAACCTCCCACTTAACCACCTACTACCCACAAACATCATATTCGTATTTCTCACCTTAGAAACCTCTTCTAAGCCTCAACATCTTCAATCACAGTCTACCTATTTGGAAAAATTGTCTTTTCTCTTGCTAGCATCAAAAAGGAAGATACTTATAAACTCAACATCGCCTCACTTTTCTCTCAATATTTGATCGTGCTTCAAAATTTGTAGCTTATGATAGGGTTTGGATTAGACATGAATTGGTAGATGTCGGGCAAAATTTTCACGCCAAAGAAGATTATACTCAAAGGTTATACTCCAAACCAGTTTCCCCGTTGTCAATTTTGTTGTTACAGATATACTTTGTTATTCTCTCTTAAACAAAAATTGGGATTTAAATGAAATTTATATAGATGAGTTAGTGAAATATTAAATAAATTTAATCTCGCACAAAGTATTTGAGCCTAGGCCCCAGCACCTAGTGGATGACAAAGCAGAGGGACAAAGAATAGCGAGGCCGGAAGCAAATCCAGGCCTCAGCAGCCCTTTGCCTCTATCTGACCCTCAACCACCCACAACTGCATTGCCACGCAAGAACTTGGATCCAACACTCCTAAACTCTGATCTTGGGGCAGAGATCCGAAGGCAGAAAGAGAATCCACAATGTCAGGCACAAGGGGATGGTGGTTCTTCTTCTTTTTCTTCTTCATCAGGCCCCAAGAAGAGCTACAGTGCAATTGTAAACCAACCGCCTCCATCCCAGAAGAGCAAGAGAAGCTGAGGCTACAAAGAGAAAGGACCACCTTGTTTTTCGAATGCTTCAACGCTACTATTGTCTCCGAGCCACCTTTCTTTGTTGAGGTAATTAAATTACTAAACTTAGAGATTAAGCACTTTAATTTTATATATCAGAATTATTAACAATAAGTGTTTTCCTAACCTTTTATCCATTCATTTTTTAATATCTCAGCGTATGCTCTCTATTGAAGACTATTTGACCTTTAAAAGAACAAAGATGGTTTGCTAGGTCAAGTATAGGACAACAAAAATGTGCAAAGTTAACTCAAGTAGGTGTTCACGTGATGAGAGAGCTAATTGTTGTCATTGGGAATGAGGTGCTGAATAAGACAGATATAGGAGGACATATCCAATTAGATGATGTTACTGTGAATGATAAGGGAGTTGAGTAGAAAAAGAATGACAACCTTATGATACTCAAAGCCTCTTCTCACACCCTCTTATCCCGCTTATTTTGAAGCGGCGCCGGCCCTCAAAGGTCTAGATGAGTCTCCTCTTCTACCACGTCGCCAGATACCACTTTTTTCTCCTCTATACACATGGAGAAAGACCGTCTCTAACCCGCTTGTATCCTTAATAAGGGTAATGTATCTTCTTTTTTAGCATTAGCATTGATAATTGTATTCACAATAACTAATCTATAATGACATTTAAATAGGGTGGTTTAAATAGTTTGTAATTGTACAAGATATTGACAATTGTAACGACTATGATGTTTAGAAATTATTTTGTCCATGCACTCACACCCACACACCATATTAATAAGAGTAATAAAATATGTAATAAATATTGTGAAACTCAATATTTCATGCATAAACTCATTGGATTCCACTCTTTGAATTCACATTGCAGGATGAGATTGCCCTTAACGGGCATCACAATGTGTATTAGGATTGGGTTAAAACCCACAATGCCTCCATTGCGTCCCCCATGTTGCGGTTCAATCTATGGGACACATTTTTCCTATTGTGGCGGTACCCAGGGTGGGAGCAGAAGATAACACACCTGATAATTGTTGAAGATATTGTGATTTCTCGTGACTTGCCACCACTTCTAGATCATATACCCGAGCGGGGCTTTTGGGTCGGCATCCCAAGGCACTTTATGGTGAACGCCGACGCCTGGATAACACCAACATAGTGAAGATTGTGACACGGTCATCTGACGGGGAGCCCATAAATGTGTTTCATGAGCGGCTTCTCAGTTCTCATTGCACACTCGATGATCGAGGAAGGAGAGCTTTACGGCATCTATAAAGCACTACAGATTACAAACGGCATGCTACTATCACAAATGGCAGAGGGAGGACTACCGGGCTGTGGCAATCATTTGAGACAACATGCACATGGTTAAAATGCTAGAATTTAAAAGCTTTAATGAGAATGTCTCCAATCGCTTTGAGTTTGTTAACCAATTAATACAAGATATATTGAGCTTGATGAGTGACATGGGAGATACCTGTGGAGCTGTTGTATACGCGCCGGGAGTCAAACCGACTCGTGGATTTTGTTTCCATCGTTGATCCCGATGTCAAAGTCGACAAGTGGAGTGCGAGATTAAATCTATTTCACTAACTCATCTATATAAATTTTATTTAAATCCCAATTTTTGTTTAAGAGAGAATAACAAAGTATATCTATAACAACAAAATTTACAACGGGGAATTGGTTTGGAGAAAAGTAACTAACCCCTGCACCAAGAGCAATGGGCCTACCAAGGTGGTCCAGCTCTGATTCAAGTTCATCTATGTTTTTGTTTATTGAAGAACTAATGCTTGGGATCCTTGATCTAATCACAAACTCCAAATGCTGAAACCAATATATTTACAACAGCTCACCATTATATATTTCTATCCTTAGTGTAAATAATGACACCATTATATTCTAGTACTCACTTTCGAGACAAGCTTTGCCAAGTATTTTGAACCCATTTTACTCGCAAGGTGCCAATAGTCCAGGCTTGTAGCAAAATATTCACGTTCCTTTGTCCTGGTAGAAAGCATGTCTACATTTCTGTTTTTATCAGCTTGGGAGCGGTTCACAACACCCACCCAAGGATATCGCAAGCGATAAGCTCTTCCTTCAAGAACCTTAGGTGGCAAGAAAACAACTCCAATTGTGAGAAAAGTGACTTGTTTGGTGATCCATAATGGGATTATAGAAGTTTACAACACAAAGCATATGCAGCTGAACACCATATGCTCGCATCCAAAGCGTTAGTCCCTTTATCCATCAGATCAAGTTTCGTAAGCACTCCAAATGTTCTTTCCCCTGCATAAATAAGAGACTTTTCTTAAGAAAAAATGGTGCAGACATATATTATCTTATTAGAACACCATGAGTTTCAAAATCAAACCCACCGGATGGATCGACTTCTCTTGAAAGTTTTATTGCATCTGAGGTGGCAATATCCTGATTGGCTGGAGTTATTGCGAGTATAATGCAGTTTGGCTACAAAGTCATTAATAGGGGAAAGTCACAACTCATGATAGCAATGACATGAAGATATAGGTAGAGTTAAAGAGGCGGAGATGTGAACACACAACTCAAATGTCAAAGTAACCAACAAATTTATCATCCAGTTATAAGACAGCATTACCTTCTGGACATAGGTTCGGACCATGTTTTCAATTTCTTGGACTATACTTTCTGGCTGTCCTTCTGCAACACACAACTTTAGTTGTTTCGTATCGGGATTACCTTAAAAAAACACCAAATGATCACCTAAGTAGAGGGATAGATAAACGAAAACACTCACCAACAGCAACCCTTGTCAAACTGGGCAAATCAATGAGTGTTAAGTTTACCACTGTCAATGTAGTCAAGCCATGAGGAATAGTCAGCAAATGAGATAGGCATAGACAGAAACTTAATAAAAAAGCCTCACTCCCTCAAGGTAATGCAGAGAATGTAGGGTATACCATTGGGTGAATAGATGCTGAGGTGAATAGGAACAGCAGAAATCTGTTTTGTTTCCCCCGTAAGTCTATTTGTTTCATCCTCAATCTCCTTACGGACCAAAGCTGCAAAAGAGAACCACACATTCCAATAAATAGAAAAATTCATGATAAAAACTGTTAAACATACAATATACTGCACCAGTGTAGATACAACAACAACAACAACAACCCAGTTAAATCCCACAAGAGTAGGGTCTGGGGAGGGTGTGTGTACGCAGACCTTGCCCCTACTCGAAAGTAGAGAGGCTGTTTCCAAAGAGACCCCCGGCTCAACGTCGAAAGTTGCATTGCTTGACTAACTGCTACTTCATTAATTAAAGAAGTGCAGACAGTTTAGAGATCCATTTTGATTTATTCCATCACACCCCAAAGCCAAAAAATGGTGAAATTTTTGCTCCATCGGAGATGATGGAGCAGTGTAGATAATGATAGGTAATTCATATACCGAAATCAGTGAACTGTCTTCTTGGCAAATGAGCGAACTCCGCATACTCCTCCAGCCCATCTTTGGTCTTCTGCAACTGCAACACCAGCGGCTGCCTCATAACAATCCCTGCCAAAACCCAATACAGAACTTCAAGCTACGGAGAGACATTATACTCTGCATGTTTGTCAACCGACTCAACCCCATTTTTAGCTCCTCATTACTGGCCAAATTTTTACTCCTTATTTTCAATTTTGTTTTGAACAATAAATGCACAATCCATCAAAGTTATAACAAAAAGAGTCCTTTGTATTTTATATCGAGGTAAGACTTGCATAATCATTTAGAATGTGAGTGCTCCAAAGCCAAATGTTTGTTAAGTCAAAGCCTAGGTTTCTCTAAAGAACCCAGAGTCGTTATATTTTCTGTTATATCAAATTTTTATCTATCAAGAATTCTTAAAACAGGTGATGTCGAAATAAGATTGTAAGAATGTGGTGAATGCTTTTTGCGCTTGACTTCATCTCATTGCTAGTTGTGGCAAAGAGATTAATATCTCATATGTCTCATGCTCTGCTAACAAAGATGCGCATCTGTTGGCACAAGCTTGTTATCCCCCCCCCCCCGAGCTGTGGAGAGTGGTTTGATTCTCAATATTATCTGTAATTAAATATAAGGCTGCCTTCTTCAGACAAGAAAAGAAAAAAAAAAAAAGAAGACTTGAAACAAATCGAAATTAGAACATTAACACATCACCCAAACCATTGTTTTAGGTCAAACCCAAATATAGGCACATCCAAGTGACCAAGGAAACAATCAATGATACATACTTGAAAGATATCTAATACGGAGTACTCTGTACTAACAAACACATCAAATTACAAAAACATCTCTATACTAAAGAAATTCTGGCTAGAAATTAAAACAATTCTTTTTTGTGAAGTCAAAGCAAAGCTTGCTATTCAGATTAATGGTGCACACCAACCACTACATTAGCCACGTTAGATAGCATTTTCAGAAAAGCCGAAGGAAATTCTAAACTAAAGTCAAATGGAGCCTTAAAACACAAGTTAAAGAACAAAAACATATCTCCAATTGCCGACACATTGCAGTGAAAAGATAACAAGGATTCATGGCACAAGAGGCTTGTTATCCCAGGCATCCCTTGCTTCAAGCAAGTAAGGGCAATATCTACTTGCCAGAACTTCAACTTGTTCCGCAAATGATTTGTTCTCATAATGACCAATGTGGCGAACCATTTGCTTCCAACGCTGCAGAGACACTTCGCCAGACCTGTGATCAAGAAGATTGTCCCAGTCCACATTCTCCATGCAGCTTGCATCCAAGTCATACAATGCACCTATAAGCCGATAATCATCAGAATCGGCCCATTTGCCTTCCATGACCATTGGTGAAGTTAACTGGTGGTACCACTTCCTACAACATGTTGGGAGATTTCGTGTCCCCAATTTATTACTTATTGCTGTCCAAGAGATGTTGTCGCGCAGCATGCCGTGATTGGTTTTCTTGTCTTGATAAACCTTCAATTGCAGATCAATGTTCACTAAATCAAACAAAGTTTTATATTCCTCCTGAGACCAGCGTCCCCTCTTCATATTGGGCAACCTTCTTCTGACCCATGCATTAAAGACATGGCCCCCAAATTTGCCAAGTTTCTTGGCCATGTCTGCCCATCGATTCCCATGTCTTTCTTGATACTCTTTTACAAATTCATACTCTTCTTCAGTCAAAGGGCTTTCACTTTTACGAAAAATCTTAACAGCACGCATGTAGACAGATTTATTAGGTCGGTAAGGAATGGCAGCCCCAATTTCACTCAAGCAGCCTCTCAGATTTGTAAAAGATCGTGTGTTAAAAACCATATCCAACCCTTCATCACCCAAATCATGCCTCTCTACGAACTTATAGACAGCTTCTTTGATGATGTCATCCTCTTCTTTTGAGAACCTCTTACCTTGAACTAATTCCACTTTGTTGATTTTTTGCTCTCCCTTATCAAGAACATCACCACAATCAGGAAAAACCTCCAAGTTTTTTTGACTCTTTGTATCTTTAGGAACATTTCCAGCCATCTTCCTCCTGCTAATGTTCTCGCTTTCAATAGTTGCAAGACTTTCTGACCCAATATCTTTTGAACCAACACAAACATCACATTTTTTCTTTCTTTTCTCCTCTTTCTTCTTCTTCTTCTTCGTTCTGGCCATCTCAGTACAACCTTCAATGCACTCATCCCCTGGATGTGACTCAATCACATTGCACTTAACATATCTCTTCCTTTTTTTCTCTTTTTTGTTTTCAAAATCTTCAGTCCGCTCCCTCCTCTTTGTGAAACTTCCTTCCTCAAGAAAATCGGGGCCCTGAACATTCTCTTCATCTGCAACGCGTACCTCCATCTTCTTCTCTTCAACATCTTCAAGCCAATCCCTGCTTTCAGTGGCATGACCTTCTTCAAATATGTTGTGTCCCTCAAGTTTCTCTTGATTGTGTAGGCCATTCTTCATATTGTTGTTCTCTTTGCTTTTATTTGACCTTTTAGACCTCTTCTTTGAATGCTCCATCATGCTTGTTGCATCATCATCTTTAGCATCCATGTCTACACAATCAAGAGTTGCAGAGACGCAATTCTTATTTCACACTGGTTACATAAACAAATTCATGAAGTAAGTCGATAAAAGGAAGCAAATCTTGCACCGCTTTAGGAAATTCTATCTTGAGCCGTAAATGGCGGCACCTTATATTTCACAATTACAGTAATTATTGGAACAAGGATAATAACATCGTAATTTGCATTCTTCTCAAAAGGAAGAAATGCAAAGGGTTAAGAGTTAGTAAAACTACTTATGGTTCATTGTGTAGGATGCCACTTGCCTAGCCTATTTACGTCTAGGTTTCTTTGTAGGCTTATCTTTATACAAATTATTTTAGTTATGAGTTATGGTCTTCAATTGTATAGTACTCCTTCCGTCCTTTAAAACATTTCAACTTTCACTTCTTATTCGTCCCATAAAACATTTTAATTTCATCTAAATGGACACAATTGCCCTTACTTTTCTTAAATCTATCTGAACATACCTCAACTACCTTCTACGCTCTATCCTTTTTACATTTCTCAAGCCCAACTTGTTTCAATTATCGTCGTTTTGCCTTGATCAAACTTCTATATCTTCCTTTCCCAAAATCCAAAACCGGAAAAGTTTTCCGGGACAGAGGGAGTACTAAACGAACTTGCATTGTCATTGACAATCCTTTGTGGTATGTATGCAATGAAGGCATTCCCCAGAGATGATCCTTCAAAGCCATGTAGGTTAACAATTTTTGTTGACTATAAAGCTGGTATGACTCACATTGTTAGAGAGGTTGATAAACCTAGATCTAGCAAGTTTTTACTCAGTTTTTATAGTTTTATCCCAATTCCTTCATTCCACAGGGTAGGATATGTTACGGGACTTCCGGGACACCATGCACGTGAGACCGAAGACCGGTGACAGGTGGTTGACGAACCGAGCAGTCGGCGTAGCGAACGAGTCCGGCGAGCTCCAAGGTGACAGGAGGAATTTAAGATGCAGTAGGCATACTCTTACTATCTCTTACTATTATTGGATATTCATTATTAAGGACTTTATTATTTATATATTAGTTGTTGTATTAGATTTTATTAGGTGAGCAATTTATAAGCTCTTTCGAGGGTTTCTTTACGGTTCTTTACCTCGTCGCTTTTTCTTGAACCGTCAAGATAGACAACGTAGTTTCCTAGGGTTAGGGTTTCTCTATCTATAAATATGGAGATGTAACCATTTATCATAATCATAATAATAATAAACAACCCTAAAAACTCTCTCTCTCAATGAAAGCACCAATGATACAAACTCGTATCGGGTAAGGAAGACTTTGGAGCCTCTTCGAGCTCTAGGGGTAGGCCCTGAGATGCTCCATAGTCACACAAGAATGCCACCAAATAAGTAAAAGGGAAGAGATTCCTCATTTCAACACCCATGATTTACTTAGAGCATGAATGCCCAAATAGACGAAATAAACGGCTGGAAAATCACAATGGTTAACAGAAATCAAAGCATTCACTCGTATATATTTCAAAAAAAAAACATTCCTAGCACATAGTTTGATCATTTGGAGTAGTTTGATTCACATAATTGATGCCAAATAAAACAATACAAAAGTAGAAAGTCAAGAACACTTAGGAACCTGGAAATCGGAGGTGGGAGAGATTGGGATGACGCAGAGAGGGCGGCTGGGACGGTGACGGGAAAGGGACGGAAAAGGGATAGGGTTGATTTCAATTATTGGGTTGCCTATGCAGCGAGGGGAAGAGGAGAGGCGCTGACCGACGGGTAGGTAGACGACGACGATGGCGATTGGGCCTCGTTAGATGCCCGGGCTCCATTATAATAACTATAATAAATATTATTCTACCACCTCTCTCAATATCTTATTCTTTCAACGGTAGTATCTCATTTGGATGCCTAAATATCTATTCAATTAATATAGTAGGTCCACTAAAATATATTTATATTTTATTTTTTGTTAATTATAAGTATTTAGTTATATAATAAATTACGGAGTATTAATTATACAAAACTTAAAAATATTATATTGAAAAAAATTATTCTTTATATTTTAAAACTAGTTTGTTCTCCATCAATATCAAAAAAATCTAAAAACGACCCATTTGGATGTAAATCCATTTTTTAAGAAAAAAAATTCTAATTTGCAGCTATTTGTAAAAAACATTTACTTAAAATATTTATTGGAATTACAAAAAAAGTCCTTGGAAAAGTATTTAAAAAGAGAGCTATTTAAGAAAATTGCCAAAAAAAGAATTGAATATATATATGACACATGGCACATAATCATTGAACCACAAAACTAAAGAAATAAATGCATGGAAACCCTTCCCCCCCCAAGCACCGATGCTATGTGAAGCATCTCCCTCTCTTTTTCTTCCTTGGACATCTATAATGAGCACCCACCTACAACAATAGCATCCAACAACATCTCACTCTCTCTCCTCCTAGCATCTCTTGTAGGCATCCCATTGGAGATGGTCTAATAATTCTTCATTAACAAGCTACTGAAAAGGGCCCTGCCCAAACCCGCTGCAAATTGGGTTGCAATTACGTTACATTTTAGATTTATCAAATTTCTTTTCTTTCATGGATGTTCTAAAATGAAATTATCATGTTCAATTTTGTGATTCTTATTATTTCTATTTATTCTATATTACATTTTCTTAATTTTGAATAAAAACAACTATGAACTTAAATTAGACCAAAAGAGTGAGAAAATAGTAACAAAATTGTAAACTTTATTTTGGACAATGTAAAAAGAAAATCTTAAATTTTATTTTAAAATAGAGGGGACAGTAGAGAAATACTTCGATAAAGAAAAAAAGTGGTATTTACACACACAAAAAACAACTTTGAAGATTTTTGGAATAGATGAGGTATGTGTTCATATTAAATGTTAGTAATTATCGTTGTTGGGATGTTTATTTGAAAAAAAAATTAGATTTTAGGTGTTCATTCGAACTTGGGACTTGTTAAGCTCTCTAGGGAGTGGGCAGATGTAGGAGCATATATGTATATGAGTGTCTTATATCACAAACTCACATGCACTAAGTAAGAAAAAATGCAAAAAATCATTTTGGGACGGATAAAAACGAAAATCGAAAAACTTTTTTTGAAACCAAACACAGACCCATATGAAAATTCACCAATAGATCCAAGGACCAGAGGTCTCATTTGATTCTAATTTCCAAGTATAGGACAAAAGTCATTCCATTATATGTAAGCCAGATGGTCCTTGAAAATACAAGGACTTATCTATATGATCATAATATCATATTATTAAAAACAAACAGCCAACATATGATCATATGATTAAAATCTTCACAGTGCAGAGGACATTCAGATTGAAAAAAATAATATTTTTGTTGTTAGAAAAGGTAATGTGCTCTTATTTAGATCATGGACTCATACATACGTTTTTAAAAAGATGTTTCAAACCCTTAGTATCCTCCCAATTTGACATCACACAAGGAGTTTTAAAAAGGCAAAATTGTGTTATTGAAACTTATGCAACAACAAATCCCGTGTAATTCTAACACCCTTGGGATTCTAACGCCGTAAGATAAATTTATACAATGGGAGAGAAATCATTTGGAGTGCACAAATTTATGCAGTGTGACCGAAAGCATATGGAGCACACACAATAATTTCCTGAAAGGGAAATGGAAACATTAATTAGGGGCAATCCAAATAAGAAACTGAGACCATTAAGAAGGGAGGGAGGGAGTACTTTGATGAAATTGCAAATTTGAGCACAAACAAGTATTGCGCGTTTTGCAGTGAAAAGATAGCACCAAAAACTCAGGGTACATAAGGCTTGCTATCCCAAGCCTCTCTTGCCTCAAGCATGTAGGGGCAGTACCTTTGTGCCAGGATTTCAACTTGTTCGGCAAATGATTTATTCTCATGGTTACCAATGTGGCGAACCATTTGCCTCCAACGCTTCAGAGTAACATCACCTGACCTATGACCAAGAAGACTGTCCCAATCCACATTCTCTATGCAGCTTGCATCCAACTCATACAATGCATCTATGAGGCGATAATCATCAGCATCGGTCCATTTCCCTTCTGCGACCATGGGTGATGTCAACTGGTAGTACCATTTCAAACAACACGCATCGTTACTTCGTGTTGCCAATTTGTCACTTATTTCAATCCAACGGATATTGTCGCGCAGCATGCCATGCTTGGATTTCTTCTCCTTGGAAATCCTGGATTGCAGATCATTATTCACCAAATCAAATAGAGCTTGGCACTCCTCTTGAGACCAGTGTCCCTTCTTCCTGTTGGGTAGCTTTCTTCTGAGCCATGCATTCATGACATGAACACCGAACTTGCCGAGTTCATTGGCCATATCTGTCCACCGATTCCCATGCTTTTCTTGGTACTTTCTCACAAATTCGTACTCTTCCTCAGTCCAAGCGCTATCACCTTTCCGAAACAGCTTTTGAGCGCGGCTGTAGACAGCTTTATTAGGCCGGGAAGGAAGGGCAGCCCCAATATCGTTCCAGCAGCCTTTAAGATTTGGAAAGGATCGACTGTTTAAAAGCATGTTCAAACCTTCATAACCTAATTCGTGCCTCTCTATGAACTTAAACACAGCCTTTTTGATGATCTCATCCTCTTCTTCTGAAAACCACTTACCTTGAACTAATTCCAATTTGTTCTCTTTTTCTTCACCCTTTTCAGGAGCCTCATTAACATTTTCAGCTGTCTTCTTCATGCTGAGATTCTCATTTTCTTCAGTAGCTCCACAAATATCTCTGCCAATATCTGCCATGCCTAAACAGACAACATTATTCTTCTTCCGTTTCTCCCTTTTCTTCTTCTCCTTCTTCTTCATCCTGACAATCTCAATGCTATCTTCATGGTACTCATCGGTGAGTTTTGCCTTCATGTCAATGTCATTTTCCAGCATCTTACTTACAGTTAAATGCGCATCATATTCACTGTCTGCAGAATTTCTCATCTCTTGGCAACCTGCATGTGATTCATCAAAATTGCAGTTAACATCTCTCTTCCTTTTTTTCATGTCCACGCTCGCTAGAAAACTCCTGTCACAGTCCCCACCGAGTCTTCTTCTACTATTCATATTGCTAATACCACCATCACCATCATCATTCACAATGTGCTCAGAGTGGAGACCTTCCATCCCATTTTTTATATTGTTCTCTTTACTTTTTCTTCGACTTTCTAAACCTTGTTTCTGATTGCTCGAGCACACCTGTTCTGTCGGCATCTTCTACATAGATGGCTACACGAACAAGAGTTCCAGAGAAGCAATTCACATTTCAACTCGATTACAAAAACAACCCAGTTGAATCCCACAAACCTTACCCTACTCAAACCTATGGAGACTGTTTGCAAGAGACCCCGGCTCAAGTAACATTTCAACTCAATTATAAATACAAACCCGGGAAGTCAGTCTGTACAAAGAAGCTGCAATTCAATTTCGCAATGCGTTAGCAAATTGAAGCCTAACCCTAGAAAGTAGCTTATTTCATCATTATAATTACTGGAACCAAAAAATCAAAAAATTAAAAAAATGTTCAATCATTTCCAGTCTTCAATCAATGTGATGCAATATGAATCGTAGATATTAAAGCTATTGAAAATTTACTCCGTAAATGGTAGTAGTTAAAATGGGAAACCCTAATCTTAAAAACCATAAACAACATTGAGACAAAACAAGAACAGATGCGGAGAGGAGAATGATTCGTATTGCCTTAGACTGTAAGGAACGAGCATCCGCTTCGACGGCGTTTCAAAGCTCAGACGGGACGTCGCCGGCCGGAATCGCTGCGTTTTAGACTACGGGGCTCTACGCCGATATATTCATTGGGCTTCTTTTTTCGTTATTGGGCCTCTTAATTGAGTGTTCTCTGACAAACTGAAAAACTCATTAGCCACACAGAAAAAACACTCTGTACTCCATATCAGAGCATGGACAATGACAAGTAAGAAATGGAATGCCACACGATGATGTGGAGTATTTTACCCAATCAAAATCTGTCTAGTCAGCGTGTGGTACATGAGTGGAGTGGCATGTCTTGCAGTGACAAGTCACCATTTTTATCATTTTTTATATCTTTTTAATATATTTTAATTTCACAAATTATTTTACCTACCTTATTTTAATAAAAAAATTGTAATCTTTTTTGGCAATGTTAACATTTTTGACATATTTTAATTAGCTAATGCATGCTTTTTTATTATAAATTATTGCATTTTCTTGTAAAGTTTTAATTGTACAAAGAGAAAAACAAATTTTAAAATTTTTAAATTTAAATTATATAATTTTACATAAAACATTAATGTTTAAAAATGTATATTTTTTAGTCTCAAATAAAGGTTAGATTGTTTTGAAAAAGAAAATAAGTTGTAAAGAAAGGGTTAAAAATGTAAAACAGTGCCTCTAATCTCAATAAAATAAAAAAAACTTCTTTTTTTACAAAAAAAAAAAGAACAAAAAAGAGAAAATAGTGGCTCGCCCTTGCCATAACTTGCAAGGAAAATTGCAATGCTTTACCATGGAAAAGGAGTAAGAATGCTGAGCTGGCATGCGTGGCAGTGGCTTTGACACGCCACTGCCCATGCTCTTAGGCTTCTCAGGTCCATAAAATGAGGAGTCGTTAATTTTCTTTGACCATAAATTAGAGTAATAAATACTCCATCTCTTTCAAAATATCTTTTCATTTTGATTTTTATGCATTCTAAGAGATGAATTTAGTGTTTTGAAAATCGGACCGGACATCAACCCGGACGAGAGAGTGGTGGGTCAAGGGATAACCGGTTGAACCGGTAAATCCGGGGGGTCAATGACTCGGTCAACAATAATTAA